TAACGTATTTATTTAATAACTTATTTTTTTATCTTTTTTAGCTGATCTGCCGAGCGAATCTGAATATTCTTTAAGTAAGTTACTTGATTTGCGGTTTTTCTTTATTTATTATGATATTAATTATTTAAGGTGGATCGAGAGAAGAAAATCGCGTCGTTGGTCGAGATCGCGATGATAGGAGAGATCGTGATCGTGGCAGAGGTGATCGGGATGAACGTGAGCGCGGTGATCGCAGTGATCGCGGGGATCGAGGGGATCGTGGAGATCGTGGGGATCGTGGGGATCGTGGAGATCGTGAACAATATCGCGATAGAGATCGAGATCGTGACAGAAATCGTGATAGAAATGGAGGCTTTGCTAGGCAGGATAGGTTTAGAGGTAATCAAATAAACGGTTTATTATTATACATAGAAATTATTTATAATTTTAATATAACCTGCTAAAAAAATTTGTTAATTTAGGATGTGGAATGTTTTCTGCGCTCATTTTGATTTATTTTTCTCTGCTTTCATCGAACTCAGACAAACTACTAATTTGCATCTCCAGCTCATACAATTCAATTATTTAACTCGACTTTTTAAAGTACAATCTGATGTTTAGCTTCAATAATTTAATTCGAATTTATTTTTATTTAGGTCGTGATGACAGACGTGGTGGCGGAGGGTTCGGTGGCGGCCCGAGCGGCGATGCACCAAGACGTGATCGAAGTCGCGAAGTTGATCGGCGTCCTCCTGGGGGTGGGCGTAACGCTGGTCGAGGCCCTCGAATTACCTCAGCCCTTATTCGTCGACTTCCTGGAGAATCTTCAGATTCTGAATTTGATGATGATCACACCTATTGAATTTATTCGATAAATTCCGTTGACCTGCTTTTCGCGTTGTATACTCTCATTTTTGTATCTCATCTATCAATTTCCATTCTTGCATCTTGAGGCTTTGTGCCAACCTTAATTTTAACTTTTAGCCTTTTTCATCCCGTTATCTATCAGTAAGTATATTATCACTATATCGTGTTGTCGTTTTTATTATTGGAAATTTATCCCATATGATTCTACTTTCTCCTAAAACACTTGTTGCATCTACCCATTTTGTCAACTGTCAAATGTTGGTTGCAGATTTTACGGAGCCCACACCACGTAACGTCTAGTTCGGCATTTTATTTGTCCAATTATCTCATACATACACTAGTGATATATTACAAAGAAAAATGTGCTGTGAATATCGCTAAATTGGGTTAAAGCAAGTGCACATGCCCACATTTCTGTTTGCGTGGAAGATGTTGTAGGAGTTTCTGGACTAACCGCTTATATGGTTCAGTATCCCTCGCGACTGCACCCGATTAGGTCTTTGGTTGCTTCTGGGGAATAGATTTCATCGGTCATTTTTCAGTTTGGACTTAAGCACTATGTTGGTATTCATCATCTTTTACTAAAATAATCCGCTCTCGACTTTAATTTGCTGTTCCTTTTTGTGTGGGACTGCATGTGGATTGGCTGCCAACATTTATTTTAACAAATATTAGGTGGAAGAGCCATGATGGTGGTATACATTCAGTGGGCTGGGGCTTAGAGATTTCAAACCATTCAGGAGCGAGGCTTTTACGTCATGTGATATGGACGAAGGCTCAACGGCTCTGGTCGCTTGTTATATTAGCCTAACAAAGACTTTTCGTAGC